AACAACTCGGACGAACTTGTTTTGTAAGCTCCCTATATTAAATGTGAAATTTCCCTGTCCCTACAAATTAAACTAACAATTTCTTACACAAAGGGAAAGTCTAGCAAGTGAATGCCAGGAGGAGTGTATAAACATGGAAACTTCCAAAATGCCCAATTCCAGCACATCCTTTTGCCAGCCTCAGTATGACAAGCTTACCCAGAACACCTAGACAAAATCCCTTCTAAAATCTCTTTGAATTCACTATATATCTATTTGTACCAGCAGCACTCCTGCTTTTGCAATCTGAGAGCAAAAGCTACTGATCCTTAAGGACATCTTTAACATTTCTGACAAACGAAAGACTGGTTGGATAGTTCAAGAGAATAAGTAGTACAGGTTGTGTTGGAAGTGTGGTCCTTTAATGCCGTGGACTGGGGCTTTAGGAAGAGTGAGTGGGAGCTCCCATGGCATCACAACTAACGAGGAGGGCACCTCAACCTCCAGCATCCTACAATAGCTCCGGAGATGGAAGACCACACCCCATTAATTTACTTTAATTTCTATTTCAACTTTCCTCCTCATTAATTAGGAGCTGAGGTTCACACAGATTACAGCTGCTGCCATGCAATCCCGATGATGATGTTAGGTGGTGCGCGCCATACAATCAAAGTTCTGCGCGCTGAGATGCGGCCACGGCAGATTGAAATGAGAAGCCTGAGTGTCTGCTACCTGTGAAACAGTCAGAGGGGTTACACAGGGAGAGGGATTCCCTTCTTCTTCCCTGAGACATCCACAGATTCATCCACAGGCAACGCACACGTATGAGAGCAGCGCTTTCTAACGCACACATCACCCAATGAATCAAAAAGAAAGCTCAGCACGGCGATTGCAGCCAGCGATAAGAGGGCAGTGCCAGGAGGACACGCAGCCACCCTCGGAAGCAGCAACGCAATCGCGTGTTCGTTGCACAGCGCTCAGCCAAAGGCAATCAAATCACCCTGCTCGGATCGACGGCCTTCAAATAAGGAAGTAGCCTGTTAATAATAAGCGTGACAGCTTTTCGGCTGCTTTTCCACCACCCCTGCGTCGTGTAAAAGCGCACCCACGAGAGAACGTGAAAGCCCCCGGCTGCTGCAGGGCAGAGGGGAGCGGAGCAGCCCGCGTTCTCCCGCAATCCGACGGCAGAGCAGCGCTCCGCCGGGCTGCGCGCAGACGGACGCGACTCACCGCGGGGCAAACAGGGCACAGCGACCTGACAGCACCCGCGGGCAGCGCGGAGCGGTGCGGGTGATCGCAGCCCGCAACCCGACGGCGGGTGCACGAAGCAGCGAGCTGTCAGCCGCTCGCGCTCACGTTCGGAAACAAAGTTTGCGAGCAGAACGGCGCGTCCTCACCGCCGGCACCGCCACCCACGTGCTCCGCGGCTCCGCGCGTTGAACCGACCGGCACCGCCAACCGCTCCGCGCACCGCAGCGCTGACGGACGCTGGAAACCGGCGAGCGGAGCCGGGCGGCGGCACAACGGCGGTACGGCTCCCGCCGGACTCTCCCCGCCTAACTTCCCGTCGCCGCACGGCGTCGCAGCCCCGAACCCAGCCGCCTCTCACCTGGTGCCGGCCGGCGGCTGCGGGCCACGTCCGCGCGGAGCGGGCAGCAGGCAGCGGGCGGGAGGAGGGCCGGCCCGGCCCCGCCGCTTCCTGCCACGGCCCCGCCGCCGCCCGGGGCGCGGCTCCCTGCTGCCAGGCGCGGCCAATCGCTCGGCGCTCGGCTCGTCGCCCTGCCGCCGCGCTCGCCGCGGGCGGGAAAGAAGAGGGGAGTGGCATCGGCGCTCGGCTGCGCGGCCCGGCACGAGCCGAGGGCGCCTCGGCCATCGATCGCGGGGGAGGATGGGGTGGGGGGGGCGCTCGGCGCTCGATTGGTTCGCCTGCGCAGCCCGGC